CAAGCTTTCACTTTTTGCAGATGACATGATTCTATACATGGAAAATCCAACAGACTCCACCAAAAGTCTAGAACTGATACATGAATTCAGCAAAGTTACAGGATACAAAATTAATGTACAGAAATCAGTTGTATTTTTATAAACCTATAATGAAGCAACAGAAAGACAAATAAAGAAACTGATCCCATTCACAATTGCACCAAGAAGCATAAAACACCTAGGAATAAACCTAACCAAAGATGTGAAAGATCTGTATGCTGAAAATTATAGAAAGCTTATGAAGGAAATTGAAGAAGATACAAAGAAATGGAAAAACACTCCGTGCTCATGGATTGGAATTATAAATATTGTTAAAATGTCAATACTACCCAAAGCAATCTACACAATCAATGCAATCCCAATCAAAATTGCACCAGCATTCATCTCGAAGCTAGAATAAGCAATCCTGAAATTTGTATGGAACCACAAAAGACCCCGAATAGCCAAAGTAATAATGGAAGAAAAAAAAAAAAAAAAAAAAAAAAACAAAGCAGAAGGTATCACAATCCCAGACTTTAGCCTCTACTACAAAGCTGTAATCATCAAGACAGCATGGTATTGGCACAAAAACAGACACATAGACCAATGGAATAGAATAGAGACTCCAGAACTGGACACACAAAAGTATGGCCAAATAATCTTTGACAAAGCAGGAAAGAATCCAATGGAAAAAAGACAGTCTCTTTAACAAATGGTGCTGGGAGAACTGGACAGCAACATGCAGAAGAATGAAACTAGACCACTTTCTTACACCATTCACAAAAATAAACGCAAAATGGATGAAGGACCTGGATGTGAGACAGGAAACCATCAAAACCCTAGAGCAGAAAGCAGGAAAAAACCTCGCTGATCTCATCTGCAGCAATTTCTTACTTGACACATCTCCAAAGGCAAGGGAATTAAAAGCAAAAGTGAACTATTGGGACCTCATGAAGATAAAAAGCTTCTGCACTGCAAAGGAAACAATCAACAAAACTAAAAGGCAACCAACGGAATGGGAAAAGATATTTGCAAATGACATATCTGATAAAGGGCTAGTATCCAAAATTTATAAAGAACTGACCAAACTCCACACCCAAAAAACAAATAATCCAGTGAAGAAATGGGCAGAGGACATGAATAGACACTTCTCTAAAGAAGACATCCAGATGGCCAACAGGCACATGAAAAGATGCTCACCATCACTCCTCATCAGGGAAATACAAATCAAAACCACACTGAGATACCACCTCATGCCAGTCAGAGTGGCTAAAATGAACAAATCAGGAGACTATAGATGCTAAAGAGGATGTGGAGAAACGGGAACCCTCTTGCACGGTTGGTGGGGATGCAAACTGGTGCAGTCGCTCTGGAAAACAGTTTGCAGGTTCCTCAAAAAATTAAAAATAGATCTACCCTATGACCCAGCAATAGGAATTTACCCAAGGGATACAGGAGTGCTGATGCATAATAGGGGTACTTGTACCCCAATGTTTATAGCGGCACTTTCAACAATAGACAAATTATGGAAAGAGCCTAAATGTCCATAAAGTGACAAATGGATAAAGAACATGTGGTTTATATATACAATGGAATATTATTTGGCAATGAGAAAGAATGAAATCTGGCCATTTGTAGCAACATGGATGGAACTGGAGAGTATTATGCTAAGTGAAATAAGTCAGGCAGAGAAAGACATACTGTATATTTTCACTCATATATGGATCCTGAGAAACTTAACAGAATACCAGAGGGGAGGGGAAGGGGGGAAAAGTTATAGAGAGGGAAGGAAGGAAACCATAAGAGACTCTTAAATACTGAGAACAAACTGAGGGTTGATGGGGGGTGGGGGGGGGGAGGCTGGGTGATGGGCATTGAGGAGGGCACCTGTTGGTATGAGCACTGGGTGTTGTATGGAAACCATTTTGACAATAAATTATACACACACACACACACACACACACACACACACATATATATGCATATATATATGTTAATATATATATAAAGTTAAACTAATTGATAAAAAAATGGTAGACTGTGCAAAGAGAAGATAGTCCTGAACAGCAGATAACCAGATAACCAGAGGGAAGTATTTACATAAAGCTTCAGAGTTTGCATTTAAATTTGAACATAGTGTGTTTAGGGCCATGTTAGTTCCCAAGGTATTAAAATACAACATTAAAATCTACTGATGAGGAAGAGCGTCAAGAAGAAACTAGAAGTTCTGAGAAAGCAACTCCTTCCTTCCCCTCTACATTACCATAAAGGTATGGTTGGCAAAGGTAATACAGTGACGTATAGTTATGTGTTGTACTTCCTGTGACATGGACTTCGATGAGACTGGTCCTTAAATGTTAAAAAGGACATGCTTTCCTAATAATTAATAGAGATTTATGTAAATGAGTGTGTTTTTGTTTTTCATACACATGTCAATCTGTAGAGTGCGCCGTTAAAGCAAACAGCCTTGTTTAAAAAAATCTACAAAGCAGCAGACAACTGTTTTGGTCTGTGATTTTGATATTCGTTGTCCTTTCAAATCAGAATTTGTAGACTCAGCAAAAACCCATGAGCTTTGAGCACCTGCTTTTCTAAAAAACAGAAAAAAACCCCCCAAAAAGCAAAAAAGCCACAAACCCACAACAACAAACAAACGAAAAACAAAACAAAACAAAACAAAAAAAACCAACAACAGCTAGGATTTGGAATGAAAGTTTAGCTCTGGAAATACATGTATTTTTCTTCTAAGAAGAGTTTGCCCAAATGGTATTTACAGTTCAGGGTCCACGGTAACATCACAGATCTAAGAATGAAAAGTTCACTCTTTGATATTCACACTGGCCAGATATCAAATGAACTCTGCTTTTTGTGAGGAGGCTGGAGCATCATGTTCCAGAGGGAGGCAGACAGTCTGACTGAGAACCAGCAACTAATGCCACTCAATGTTCTAGAGCACTTGTTTCCTGCCCTATGAGATGCTAAAATCTGGACCCAAAAGGGTGTTTTTCCAACATCTAAAAAAACCATGAAAGAAAAGGGAATAACAAAGCAGGGCCAAGATCTAAGATTTCACATTCCTAATGATAAGAGTGCTAAAAAAAATTTGTGTTCTTTCTCCTGGTTCCATCATTTAATAAGAAGTAGGCCATAGACAGCAGAACATATACTTGTAGCAAAAGTGAAAACATCATTGATTGGGCACCCTCAAATCTGCTACCAAGCCACTGTGTCCCACTACTCAGGCCAGACAGCCCACAGGTAAATGTGTGCATGTGTGTCTGTCAGCCAGTCTCCATGACAACCTAGAACAGACATCTCTGAGGTTACCACAGTAGCTCAAAGCCAACAGAGCTGGTCTCAGTAGGGCTGGGTTCTGAATCTAGGTCTTCCCATCCCAGTCCCTGTACATGGCCTCAGGCCAGGCAGAATGAGAGGATCTGTGCCCAACTCTGAGCAACAAACATCTGGCACACAAGCGCCTGAAGTGGCAGTAAAGATTAGGAGGAGAAAGCAGCTGAGAGATCTCAGGCCTCAGGCAAGGAAGTCTTTAAAGGAGTCTATCAATGTCGTATGTAAATATACACCACAAGCAGAGAAGGAACGCTGGAGAAGGAAAGCACGCGAGTCCTGCCCACCTGTCGGCCATGAGGAGAGCTGTACTTAAAAGCCTCTGAGCCGACCGTGGAGAAGGGGTCTCTCTCTTCTAGAAGGATTTCAGTTTCACTTCTACAAGTGCTGAGTCCTCCAGGAGAAAAGGACAAAGTTTCACAATATATCTGAGCTCCAGTGCATTTACTATTTGATTCAATGCCTTTAAAAAATCCAAAACAAAACTTGACTTGAAACAGAACCATTATCCCAGAGCACCAGTATTTTTCCACTGTTGGGACAGGCCAGCAAAATCAATCAGCAGCAGCTCCAGCTTTTTTTTTTTTTTAATTTAAACCTGATAAATCCAGAACCAAAATACCATGGAGGATGCAATCTATAGACAGTTCATTGGGCACACGGTATGTATCAGGTCTCTGTGCTAGATGCTGAGGACCAGGTGCACTGCTCGGTGAACAAAACCCAGAATTCCTGTCCTTACAGATCTTAGAGTCTAGTGCAATTCCAGTCTGGAAACAAGTCTTTATTCAAAAGAGTGTATTTTACATGAAAATACCATCTCTGTTACATAGCCAGGGCTGTGGCTGCAGAAGAGGTCTATGCATTTTGGCTATATAAAAATCCTCTGGGAATATAAACTTCATGCTTCTTTAACACCTGCTCTTAAGAACTTGTTTTGTTGGGTTCTTGGCAACACTCTTAACAGAAGGTCGCTAGGAGTAACTGACAAGGATATCTGATTACAAGTTCCTTAAGGAATAAAGCAGAAGCCTATTGGGCCACAGTCTCTCCCAGGACTCACAACAAACATGCAATAAACATGCTTGCTGAATAACAAATCTCTTCAAATGCTTCCTGTTGCTATGAAAAGGCAAAGCCATATTTTGGACTCCTCACACTTTTGGTTCAGGACGATGGCTGGAATTTCTCTACAGATAAACACTGGTTGCAACTACACTGAAGAGAGATTGAATTCTAGGGTAGATCATACTAGTTTAACACCTTCATTTTATGGATAAGAATGCCTAGAGCCCGTCATGACTTGTAGGGGCGGATCTGAGGCCAGGGAAATTTCTAGGGCTTTGTGCTATAATCTATAATCTACACCCCTCTATCACTGTCCCCCTGAAGCCAAACACAAGTGACTAAATGTTAGCTGCAAACTAATTTGTCTTTGGAGCTCAAACTCCACAACTGCTTGAGAGTGGAAGGCTCTTATCAATTTAGTCTTTGGAAAGCTTAGTTCTGGTGAAAATATGTAATAATCTGATAAACATCAGGAAAACTCAAGTGTACAATACTGTACACAGAAGATTCATTTCTAAGGCCAAAGAGTTCACCCCCCCATCAGAAAATTCAGTACATTCACATACCGGCCGTCCATGGATGCTTTCATAATATAGCAGAGCTTTCTGCAGAGCTACCTTCTCATTAGCAATCTGGTCTTTGGTCATATCCTGAATAAACACAAGGATAGAGAAATGAAAGAGGGGGAAACATTTATGAACATCCCAACTTCTTTATTTAAACAAATTTTCTCAAGTAACGTTAAAGAGAATCCTCATACAATAGCTCCTTGAGCTCTATTCAAAGCTCACTTAGGAATGAGCTCTTCCTGACTCTTTTACTGGAAATATGGATAGCACAGCCGAGGCATCATCAACTACTTGCATCTCCCATGTGGCAGCAAAGGCACGCTGAATACTGACGTAAGCAAGGCAGCGAGGCACATGGAGGTCAGCTCAATGGCCCAAGCAGTGACTACAGTCACAAATTACAAAGTCCCAAAGCTCTGTCTATAATCCTTCTATTTCAGACTCATCAAACCATCTGTTAGCCTGAATGAGGTCCTTCTGTGATCTGTACAATAGAGTTTTCTGCTTCCAATTTGTAGTCATAAACCAAAGTACCTACAGTGAAAACACTCGGAAGCTGTTTCAGCAGCCTCCCTAGGCATCTAAGAGTGTGGAAGATGAGGGTGTGGGAGGTCTGCAAAGGTGTCACCACATCTCTCTTCCCATTGGGACCCATGTGTCAGGCCCTATGTTTCTACCATGTTGACTGGAATGGTTTAGGACTAGCAGTTAGCTGGGGCCTTCACCAAATCGCCACACCTTAATGTCCTCAGGACGGCTGGTTTCTGTCCGCTTCTCCTGGAGCTTCCTCTGGATGGATTCCAGTGTGGCTTCAACGCTGGGCTTTATTACTTTATCCATGAGCTCTTGCTTCTTCTCCTCTTCTTTCTCAAGCTGGGAACCAAAACTCTTGGGGAGCGTGTTACTTCGCTGCCGCATCCTGGGGGTTAGGTCCTCTTCAGATATCTTTAGTTTGGACTCTAGTTGAAAAGATTTGGGGGTGGTGATACATGAGAATTGATGTCTGCTGAACCCAGATTGCTTTTCTGTGGTGTTAATAACTGTTTAGCCCCATCTTTTTGAAAGAAAGTATCTAATTATAACAGTAGTTAAAATCCTTGGGTTATTATGTAAAAGCCTGAAAAAATGCTCATGTTTTCTTGGATTATCTGGAATGTTTTCCAAATTCCTGGGAAAGCTTTAGCTATGTAACCTCCATGCTTTGTCCACACCAACAGGTTTGCTGTTCTCAGAATGTGACAGACGAAAGTTTCCTATACTTTCTCCCTTACTGTTTATAGGTACCTACTGATTCAGCACTCAACTGCTGGCCAACTTTTTCTCAATAACTTACATCCCTCATTTTGGAATTACTTTCCCTTTCTATTCTATTTGGTTGTTTATGACTGTCTCCTAAAAGACAGCATGCTTTTTGAGGGACAAGGACCAAATTCTTTTCATAGACATCTGTGTTTATAGGTCTTCTCCTAACACCACAGCAAATAAAACCTTGGTACTTTAGTAAGTGTTGACTTGAAACCATCATCCTTAAATTCGTGATTTAGGGAATTGGAGAAATGTTTCAGAATTTGCATCTTAGCTGATCTGAGTTGACCTGTGATAGAGACCATGGACAGACATGGGCAAGGTGTCCCCTGAACACCACATGCACTGGGAAGCAGTGTTAAGGAACTGGTCTTTTCTGAAATATTTCAGCCCGTGGTCAGGATGTGGTGAGATGATGAATTCTGCAGGTGGCATGTCTTACAGAAGCCATGCCATGGGTCTAGAACTTTACCTACCTTTAAGTTGTTTCCGGAATTTGGCAAGGTCATTTGTCCATTTTAGAACCTCTGGATTGGCTGCTTTGTCACTGTGGGAAGGCTGAGAAAGGGAAAATTTAACATAAATGTTTTCAAACTGGGGCAGGAAAAAGAAGAAAAGTTTGATGGTGAGATTGTTTTAAAGAGGAAGGGAAAGTTGAGTCCCACTGGAAAAAGAAATTAAACATGAACAATCACAGCAAACGTCACAGGTGTGATTCCACTGTCTTTCTTTACATCTGGTTATTTTTGATGCTTTCAAAGAATTCCTCAGAGGCAAAATGGTGAATTTCTATGAGGTCCATGGCCCGTTTTCATGAGGTGTAGGGCTCAGGCCATCAGGCTAACAGAACAGAAAGCAGAGGGGTGTAGGTTTTACACTGCAATCACCATGCAAATGTCTTTTTGCTGCACTTGGGGGTAATGCTAAGATAGATCTGAGAGTAGAATGAGGTCAATGCTAATGAAATTTTAGAAGATAATCTTGAATGAAGTTTTAGCCAATGAGAAGACGTCATTTAATGATTTTTCCCATTCCTTTTCATGGATAAATATATAAGATGTCGACTACAACGTTCAATTATTTGTAAGAATACCTTGTACAAGGAAAATGCTGATACATGATGTTTGGGACTTATCAGGGTTTCCCATCCAGTTTTTACTGCCTTTTTGTCTTAAGGTCCATAGAAATCTCC